GGACCGTGGGTACCCATCTCCGGAGCCTCGGGAGCCCAGAGGTTAGGAAGCAGCCTCAGGCAGATCGAAGCCCCTGGCTTGTTCTAGGGGACTCCCAGCGAGAACCCGTATGTGCTCAAGGCTGCTTCCAACCCAGGACACCCTTCGTTCAGACCCCTGGGAGAGCTGCAGCCCAGCAAACCCACTGACGCCCACCTCCTTTCTGCACCCACCCCGTCCCTTGCCCTTTTTACTGCAGTGGCCGCCTTTCAGGAGTGGGTGTCTGACACAAATGTTCTAGAGGTTATAGGGACTCAGTCCCAGGTCACCCAGCCACCCAGCCCTTTCCCCTGGAGTCCCTGGCCGCCCTGCAATCTCTCCCACACCTGGGTCCTCTCAGGGCCCACTGCCTTCTACCCCTCACCCAACTGGACTCACCCTGTGGTTGCAGCTGGGTGTCAGAGTAGGAGATGGTTTCAACGTGTTTCTCCTGGTCCCGCTTTCATTTTCCTTGTCGGATTTGGCTGGGATAAGGATAGGATAGCAGACAAGGGCTAACTCTCCCGTCTCTTAAATGGACAGGAAGACCCAGCTGGCTGGCTCCACCCTTGGGTACTGATAAAAGACCACACCCCTTGCTGGCCAACCCTTCCCATCCATCATCCATCTCTCACCTACCTAAGGGCCCTGCCCCTATCCCTACCACATGGCCGTCTCTATTTCAAAGTGGAGGATGGGCTAACCAGAGCCATAGGCTTTGAGAGAACCAGGGGGGCCATGAAAGGCCTTCTCCAACCGGCACCCTCAAGTTGGGAAGCCTAGATATCACATTAACTGTGTTCTCCAAGGGGTGGTCCTCAGGGATGCAGGGAGCTTTGGGACTGGTGTTGGGGACAATGCGGTTTTAAAATGCAGCAACACCTAATAGGTCCTGGTTCCAGCTCTGCCACTGACTTAACCTTGGGCCATTCTCTAAGCTCTTCTGGGCCAGACACTTTGCTAATGCAGGAGGCTGGATCAGCTGACCCTCAGCTCAAGGTCAATGCTATGGAGGCCCTGTTTGAAATTCAAAATCAAATCCATTGCCGTTGAGTTGGCTTTGACTCATGGCACCCTCCTTTAAGAGAACTACTCCATAGGGTTAGGGGCCCTACAGCCTCTACAGAAGCAGAGGGTTTTGTTTTGAGGCCCTGCAGAATGGACTTGAACTGCCAACCTTCGGTGAGTAGTCAAGGCAAACCAGTGGTGGCTGAGGGCTTTCTCAACCAACCATGCATGGTACAGAGAACAAAAAACCTTGCTCAGGAAAAGATTCCATTATGGTAGCAAGAATGGCTGGCTTTGGTGGCTAAATGAGTTTTTGTTTTCTTCCCGTTTCCTGTTAACTTCCCAGTGCATTATAATATTATTTCATAGTGTGAAAAATAACTGGAGAGAAGTTCCCTCATCCTTCCAAGACGCTTAACCGGGTCACCCTCACTGCTCTAGGTGGTGGGAGCTGTTTGTGGTGACCAATGGCAATTTGGGCTGCCAGGGGACACTGAAGTTGGGGCACTTGCTTGTCTTGTCACCCATCTAGGCCTAACCTGCAGTTTCCCTCCCTCACTTATGCTGAATCTGCTGCACATACGAATTCATTTAATCATCTCAACCAGGGAAATGGAGACTCAGGCCCAAGTCACTGACATAGCCAGTCAGCAGTGTCCCTGCCTTATGCCTAGCTGGGCTGGTTCCAGTGCCCGTAACTCCTGGCCCTCCTCCTTGAGAAAAAGGGTGCCAGACCTTGCCTCTTGAGTGACAAGTCTGCCTTCTCAACCAGAGTGTGTATGGGGAGGGGAGGGTGGGGGATGGCATGGACCCCCTGACCTGTTTCAGGAAGGGGTGGGAATTGTGTCCTGTTGTCTCTACTGGCTCAGCAGCCTAGCCCAGCCTGGAAAAATAGGTTAAACCCTGCCTGGGCATGTTGGGGACTCCCCAAGCCTAGTGCAGGGTTCCCTTGGGGGCGTTTGGGTGGGGAGACACTAGCCTGGACAAAATCCAAACAAAAGAACACGTGCTGGGGTCCCACATGATGTGGGGTGGGGGCACTGCTCTTTGCCCCAACCTTCCCCTGCACTGTGAAGCTGTTCTCTGCCCCCAGCCATGGGGGTTCAGGGACACACATCTCCCAACTGTCCAGGAGTGGTCCCCTCCCCACCCCTGGCCCCTGCTGGGTCAGGCCACTGCTCCAGTCTGGAAAAACCATCAAGCTCCTGTCAGGCCATGGGACTGGAAAGAGGGAGGTGGTGGGTTGAGGGCTCATGGGCATCCTTTGCTGTCCCCAGCCCCTAATGCCACAATTGTGGCCAGGCACAGGAGACTCCACAATCTCTGGGGCCTGTCCTCAGATAATGCCAGAGTGTCACTGACGCTGTGCAGAGCTGGTGGGCACACACTTGAAGCCTGGGGCGTGGGCAGAGGCCCGTCCTGCTTGGTTCACAGCCACATTTCATCTGAGACACTTCGCCTTGGTTTTTCCCTCTGCTTATCAGACGCCCATACACGTTCGTACCAAGTATGCTAACACTAGGGACAAATCAAGGCACAGCTACATTTTTGTCTTTCCCCTTTAAAATGGTCATACCCCTCTAAAATTTCTTAATGTTTACAACTGCTTTGGGGACTGCGAGGTCATCTATGGACTGGACTTCAAAGAATATCTCAAAAACAAACTGAAGTGCCACCAGCCGGATGCCCCCTCCTAGTGCCGCTAGTATTACTGGTCATCAGCTGTGTTGCAGCCACACGAGGCAGTGAAGATCTGGTCTTATGAAAACCACCACCACAGATCTGACTCCTGAAAACCTAAGCCTTTCAAAAGATATTGCTTTGAAAAATGGTCTAGCAGTTTCTTCTAGAGTTTAATATACAATTTAACATATGACCTGACAATTCTTTACTGGAGAGAAATGGGAAACAAAGTCCATATAAAAGGTTTATGAACAGCAGTTCCTTTAATAATAGGCCAGAACTGGAAGCAACCCAAGTGTCCATCAACAGGTGAATGGAAAAAAAAAATCCATGCAGTGGAATAATATTCACTAATAAAAAAATAAGGAACTGTTGATATATGTCACATGGATGCATTCCAAAAACATTCTAATTGAAAAAAGCTACACACAAAAAGATAGCTTCAATATGAATTGCACCTCAACATAAAACAAAAATCCTCCTCACATCATGATAAACAGAAAACATTGGAGTTGTCAAGGATTTCATTTGACTTGAAGTCCTATGGAAGCAGCAGTCAAGAAAGCAACACATTTATTTATTACATTTAGGGAAATCTGAAAAATACTCTCAAGAGTTAAAAAGCAAAGATGTCACTTTGAGGACCAGTGCTCTCCTGACCCCACGCCATCGTCTTTTCCATCACTTAATAAGCTGGACCATGAATAAAAGACCAGAGAAAAGTTCATTTGAATAATGGTGTTGGCAAAGAATACAGACTATACCATGGACTGCCAGAAAAACATTTCTTAGAAGAGACTCCAGCTCATTTACTTTGGGCATGCTATCAGAGAGCAGTCCGTGGAGAAGGACATGCTGGACAAGAAGGTCCGTGAAAGGAACACCCTCAACGATACAGACTGAGACAGGTAGCTGCAACATGGAGCCTAGCGCTCCGATTGTTAGGGTGGCACTGGGATCAGGCGGTTTCATTCTCATGACCTTGGACTATCAAGCCCACCAGAGTACAACTAAAAGGTTCTCAAAAATAAGTGAACACAACTATATACAGCAGTGAAAGTTTGCAGTACAGGAAAATAAACAGTTAGGCTTCAATGTTCATATTTTATTTAAGTACAAAATTGTTAGAAGCTAAACAGAAAAACATAGTAAATATTTACAAAAACATTGATAACACGACTGGTTACACACATCATGTAGAAAGGTCTTGAAAAGTCCGTAAGTTGAAATAGGTTTCACAACATGGATATAATGGCTTACCACAGACATGCTTGATATAGTATGTAAGCCCACCGGCTTTGCAATCCAGTGCTCCCTAGAAATGAGTTCCTTGGGAGATTCAGACTCAGAGGGGAGAAGTTGAGTTGAGATAGGCATATAACAAGTCTAATTTCCTTCATCCTATTGTGAGGTTATAAGGCAGAGCCAGATTTTTTTTTAATCCTCTGATATTGGTGGATAATAACTGAACTACACTATGCTGAAGTGACCACATAAGTATCGCTAGAATCAGAACTTAAAAATTAGATTTTAAAGACAAAAGAAAACAGACTAAAAGCACAGACAATGCAGAGAAAAAAACAACGCCAATGAACTGTCATTCTTTAGACCACAGTATTATAAAATGTTAAGAGTATACTTGGGCTCTCTACTCACTTCACTTAGATGGCTTGGATTAAAAGTATCTCTCATACGAAGGGATGAAAATAAGAGCTTTGGATAACTTTAAAACCAATCCTGGCTCAGTAAGACCATTATTTAAAACATTCACCTCACATCTTAAAACAGATCATCATCTTCATCCGATTCTTCAAGGTATTTTATCGGTTTCTTAGCCCGTCCAGATTTTGCCCGAGGAGCCACAGCTGAGTCTAGATCCAGCTGGAAGTCCTCACCTTTGGATTTCTAGAAAGAAAAGACCAGGGACTTGGTACCATGTAAACCTGACAGCACAATTTCAATGCAAAACATTTATCAACAGTACAATTCAGGTAACTTCTCACCTTCTCAATAAGCTCTAAATCTAAGGCAGCTTTTCCCAATTGATTAAATAAATGGCATATTTAATTCTGTTATAACTAAAGTATACACGAGGGGTACCCAGAAGAAAAACCCAGAAAAAAAGCCCTGCTAGGCGGAGCTTTCATAGTATACTTCTTCCTACACTATGCAAGCACTGAGTAACTCACTCTGAGTTAGTGCACCCAGTGGTATTCTGGTCACAGTGGATTTTTTCATAAAAGCAGTTTTGTTCAAACTTCACTTTTTTGGTGATGGTCTGTTTTGAGAGAACAGTGTGCGGCAATGAAATTTTGTTTCCTGCTGGGAAAAATGCTGCAGAAACTGTTGTGATATTGATGGCAAACCTCTGTCTGGATGCCAATCAACTTCCTGAATGGACGAAAACGTCGACTTTTGTAGTGCATTTAGAGTTTGTTCCACTAGGTCAGACTGTTAATCAAGCTTTCTACTTAGAGGTTCTGAAAAGATTATGTAACAGCGTGTGACAAAAAAAGGTCTGGGGGACTGGTTTTGTCACAACAATGCACCTGCTTATGAAGCCATCTCAGTGTGCCAGGTTTGGGGCAAAAACAAAACAAAAAACACCCAGTATGCCTCTCTTGCTCATCCTCCTTACTCACCTGACCTCGCTTGTGACTCTTGGGTTTCCACGAATGAGAAGGGACATGAAAGGACAGTGATTTGATGATGCAGAAGAGGTGAAAAAACGAGGGAGG